GCGATGGCCTCCAACCTAATAGAGATGGCCTCCAACCTAATAGAGATGGCCTCCAACCCAATAGAAATGGCCTCCAACCTAATAGAGATGGCCTTCAACCTAATAGAGATTGCACAGAGATGGCCTCCAACCTGATAGAGATGGCCTCCAACCTAAGAGCAATGGCCTCCAACCTAATAGAGATGGTCTCCAACCTAATAGCGATGGCCTCCAACCTAATTTAGAGAGAGACAAAGAGGAACAGACTTGTTCCTAGTAGCTTAATTGTTTCTACTAGCTTCTTGTTACTAGTATACAGGCACTTGTTACTAGTAGCGATGCGCTTGTTACTAGTAGCTTCCTACGCCCCAAAAACGCCTTTATGGCCGGTGCCGCACCGACCTCGAAAACGCCTCGACAAATCGGTCAAGCACAGGTCAGGTCACTCGCCTCACCCTCCGCCGCATCTTGCACCGTCAACAAAGCACGGAAGTCGGTCGCCTCAGACCTTTCGAGCAACGTTGCCACGTACCTGACAGCCGCCCTCAACACCCCAGAACGCAATAAGATCTTAAACAAATGAACACACAAAAAACATATGTCGTTGTTGTTGTTGTGGTGGTGGTTCTTGTTGTTGTTGTTGTTGTTGATGATGTTTTTGCTGCTGCTGCTGCTGCTGGTGTTGTTGCTGTTGTTGTTGTTGCTGCTGTCGCTGTCGCTGCTGTTGCTGTTGCTGTTGCTGTAGGAGTAGGAGTAGGAGTAGTAGTAGGAGAAGTAGTAGGAGAAATAGTAGTAGGTAGTAGGTAGTAGGTAGTTAGTAGGTAGTAGGTAGTAGGTAGTAGGTATAGTAGTAGTAGTAGTAGTAGTAGTAGTAGTAGTAGTAGTAGTAGTAGTAGTAGTAGTAGTAGTAGGTATAGTAGTAGTAGTAGTAGCAGTAGTAGTACTCAGTAGTACTCAGTAGTAGTAATTAGTAGTGGTATGTGGTATGTGGTATGTGGTATGTGGTAAGTGGTAAGTGGTAAGGGGTAAGCGGTGAGCGGTGAGCGGTGAGCGGTGAGCGGTAAGCGGTAAGCGGTAAGTAGTAAGTAGTAGTAGTAGTAGTAGTAGTAGTAGTAGTAGTAGTAGTAGTAG